TCTGTCTGTCTGTCTGTCTGTCTGTCTGTCTGTCTGTCTGTCTGTCTGTCTGTCTGTCTGTCTGTCTCGACTGTCTGTCTGTCTGTCTCTCGGAACTCTTGTCTGTTTCTCTCTCGGAACTCTTGTCTGTTTCTCTCTTGTCCTGTCGTGGTGGATTCTTTTTTTTTTCGCTTTTTGAAAGATGTGGATGGATCAGAACTTCCCCGACGGGGTGATGCGCAAGCTTCACATTCACGGTAACAAGCAGCAGGTGGAAGCCGCCATTGCCGAGGTGGAGTTCCTCATGAAGTCTGCCCCGGTCAACACTCCAAGGCCGGCAAGGATGGGCCCAAAGGTGACGACGAGAAAATGTCTGCATGCGTCTTTGTTTTGTTTTTTTTTATCTGCCATCACTTCAAATCAGCCCTTGTACAGCTTTCGTGCCGCGTATGAGTAGTGGTGGTGGATATTGTTTTGTATTTTTAGAAAAAGAGGAAGAGAAAATCGATAAATCCTCTTACTTTTTGGGTGAACGATGTTGACTCCTTCACGTACGGGAGAGGTTAGTGCTGCCTGTCACAGTGAGCGTTTGACACCTCCGCGCCTTGGCTGGGACTTGCGTTGACGAGGGACGTTTTGGCTCGCTATACCTAGATGGTTGTTTTGTTGTTTTCGCGCCGTTTTTTTTTTTTTTTTCTCCCATCATTGGACTCTGTCGTCTGCCCCTCTGGCCCCTATCCTCCACTTCTACTAGCTANATTTGCGAGAAAACACTCACTCTGTCGGGACTCGAACCCATGAGCTGGCCCTTAGCAGGCTGCGAGGCTACCCACTAGACCACCGGGGCGACCGGCAGTGAGTTTTTTGTTTGTTTGTTTCTCTCCCATCATTGGACTCTGCCGTCTGCCCCTCTGGCCCCTATCCTCCACTTCTACTAGCTAGACGACCCAACCGGGGTCACATAGGAGGGGGGGGNAGCAAGGGGGAGGAAAACTTTGGACAAATTGGGGAAGATGTCCAGAGGTTCAGTAGGAAGGGAGAAGTTGTCATGGTGGGCGATTTCAACTCCAGAGTAGGGAAAGCTTCCAGTAGAGGACAGGCGATCGGGCAGCACGGAGAAGACAAAGTGAATGACAACGGAGTGAGGATGCTTGAATTCTTGGG